TAACTGGAGCACCTATGGTATTTGATGTAGATATAAAGAAAGATTTTTATGAATTCCTTCTGCCAAATGAAACTTATGGTATTAAGCCACTTTTCTTCAACTTGCATAATAGCAGAAGACAAGGAGCAGTAGAAGCTAGTGCTTTTTTGTGAGGTGGGCATTAAATCCAATTATGAGTCCAGACTTTAAAGGAGCTACCCAAAGTGCTTGAATTCATTTGAAGTAAATGTTAAGTTGAGAGTAACATTGTACTACACTAGAAATTGAAGCAAATACACAGCTCCGCTGAGATACAAGCTCCTGGTGGTTACCACTGGGAATGGTATTCTTAATGTTCATATTTGAATACATTTGCACATTAAATTGGTCAGGTGTTCATATAGGACACATCCAATTTTGTAGCATTTTTAAATAATTGTGTGGCTTTTCTTAATGCCAAAGCTATTTTATTATAATTATATATATGGATCAAGAAGGCATTTAACATTAAGCTTAGTCCTTTCTTACCCACTGCCAAAGGAAAATGTGTCACTAAATGCTTCTCTTTCAGTCTGTGCCATTTTTAAAGAGAAGCCTTCAAAAATATTTGATCTAAATTCTTAGTAAGTCAAACTATTGTTAAGAGGGATAGAAAGAATATTTGAAAATAATTGAAAGTGTTTTAAAAACCCTTGGGTTGCTCCAAAATTTTCCCTTTGGCTGCTTCTATGATAAGAACAGGGTGGCCATCCAGTAGCACCATACGGGTTTGGCGCCACTGAAAAGTCAAAGCTACCACCTTCCTCCAAAGCAGCCCAGGGATTCGTGGTTGAAACCATCCTGGGGTCTGTTCAGAATTTGACACTCCAAATGGGCCCCAGGATAAAGTGTACATGTAGGCTGCCCCTTATGAGAAAAATCCCAAATTCATGAAAAATTTCACAAATCAAACATTCTGAATACAATTTGTGCAAGATCATTTTGTACAATAAACTTTTCCTGAACAGAAAATAGAATGCATACATAGAATTCATTTTTTCTGTGCAGAAAAGGCTATTGGCTACTCAGGAAATGCTGTAATGGGAAGTTATTCTGCATGAAATTCTGTACCTGCACAGAAATATTAATTTTTTTGCACAGAAAATGCTGTTTTCTGTGCAGAGAGTATTGGTTATTTTCCCTGAAAAGCAACCATATGAAAATTGCAACTAGACTGAAAACTCAATGGTTTGCTAAAAGCTTGTAAAAAGAAGAACATGATTAAGATTAATTTGTTGCTTCCTTGAAGAAGAAACTTAGTGAAGAACTATATACCAAATTGCCAGTGAGAGCTGCAATCTTCCAAAAGCACATTACTATGTTCATATAATGAAGGTTCTATTATCACAATTATGAAACAGATCATTCACTTAGAAAATCCAGCAAAATCCAGGTTGATAGATTCTCATCCTTAGCTTGTCCAATCTGGAGGATTTTTCATATGCTGAATATATTCTCCAATGTGACATGTATTGCTTCATGAAAGTGTTTAATAGCTCACATATGAGGGCATTCATTAAAGATTTCCCCTGACCCAATTCTATTTATCACAGGACACTGAAACTGCACATGTGTAATGATATACATCTCTAAAGATTATGTGCCAATTTACAACTTAGAACTGATAACGGTCTTGATTTTACAGATGTTGAAGTGGTGTGAGGTTTGATAATGGACTCAGTGGAATACAGAGAAGTCATCAAGTTCCTTTCATTGAAAGGCCACTCACCAAAGGAAACGTTCATGAGATGAAAGAGGTATGATGTAGTCAAGAACTGGCATCGCCAATTCAAATGTGGTCGGACTTCAATGCAAACAGCTCCAATTCCAGGGCAACCCCACTATGTTATTGATGAATACACCATCCAGCAAGTGGAGGTCACCATTTTGGAAAATCGCCATGTAATAATTTGCCACCTAGCTCAAAATATCAAGAAAAAATCATCCAAGAGCATCTTCACATGCATAAGTTATCCCCTTGCTCGGTCCCCCAGCTGCTCACACCTTTCCAGAAGCAGAAACAAGTTTAATGCTCTCAGGATCTTTTGACTGTGTGCCATGGAAATCAGGAGCCTGATCACACAGGATGAAAGCTGTGTCCATCACTATGGTCCTGAGACTAAAGTCCAGTCAATGCAATGGAAACATCATGACTCACCACCTCCAAAAAAGGCACATGCCCAACTCTCAGCAGGCAAGGTCATGCTCACAGCATTTTGGGACCAGCACAGAGTAGTACTGATGGATTTTCTAGCAAAGGTTACCACGATCACTGGGGCATACTATGCTTCACTGCTGCAAAAATTACGGGAGGCCATCCAAACCAAGAGATGTGGCATGCTCACCAAAGGTGTCTTCCTTCTGCAAGACAATGCACCAGTTCACAACTCACATGTTGTCCAAATGGAAGCATGCTCCTGTGGCTTTGAAATTCTACAACATCCCTCTTATTTACCCAACCTTGCACCATTTGACTTCCATCTCTTTCCAACAATGAAGTTACTTTTGAAGGTGAAGCATTTTTCAGATGATGAAACTGATTTCTGAAGTCACAATGTGTGGCATTTGGGGCAACCTGTTGACTTCTACAATCAAAGTATTTACAGTTGCTTAAAAAGATGGGAGAAGTGTGTGTCCCTAGCTGGCACCTATGTAAAAGGGACTAATAATTGTGTCAAGTTTCATTGCTCTCAGTCCACAAGAAGTGAGTCAGGGGAAATCTTTAATGAATGCCCCTCATACAACTCTCCCTCAAATCCTTTTTGGTTTCTTTTTGTTACCTTAACTAATCTGTGATAGTGAAGATAACTTTATCACAAATAAAAGCATAAGTGCACTGATTATCTTTTAAAGCCTAGTTATACAAAACAGTGGGTGAAGTAAAAAGAGAAAGTGTGTTATTTTTAGACATAAACAGAAACAAAGACGAGAAAGCCTGGTTGCACTAATGCCTTTTTATTATTCCAATATGTTTGTCAACACATGTAGCATTGCCATACCAACATTGTTCTCATTTCTCTTCTGCCTCCACATGATAAGGTTGCCTTAGGCTCACAATAAGTCAGAATTGACTTGGAGGCACCAAGCAACAAAAATAGTTTAAGAATCTTTACCAATGTTCTTCTGTATTTGCATATCTTCCACCGGATGCAACTGCCTACACATAACCCCCTAATTATATAATTTGCTTTCTAATATATATAGATACCCTGTTTCTTCCATGGTAATAAACATGGATTAAATGGTTGGATTTAAGAAAAGGTAAAGTCAGGCAAATGAAATATTGAAAGGATTAGTTGAAAAAATACACAAGTACAAATCTTCAGAAATAATTCTCAGCAGACACCGTCTCATTTGCAGTCACAGATTTTGAAATAAATGTTCCACATTAATACTGGTTTGGGGGAGAAAGGAGATATTATTTCTTAAATATTATTTCTCAGTATAGAGCATAACGAGAGCCAGCATGATATAGTGTTTTGAGCACTGGACTATAACTCTAGGAATCAGGGTTCAAAAACCCGTTCAGCCATGGAAACCGACTTGGTCAAGGCACAAACTCCAAGTCTCAGAGGAAGGCAAAAAAAAATCTTGCCAAGAAAACCCTGTGACACATTTACCTTAGAGTTGCCATAAATCAGAAATGACTTAGAGGGGATACAACAACAATGAGGCATGCATTATTTTAGGCTAGTCCTTTGGGAACTTTCATAAAGTGATGTAATAGATGCTTAGCGTGACAGTTATACACTCGCAATATAAATGGCTTTACATACAGCCACATAGTTTGCATTAGTTTTAAATCCTACACAAGTCAATTGACAAACAAGCCGCAGTGTAGAATGCACCTCCCTGCTTTGTAGTACCAATTATGATGCGTGAGTTGCAATCTGACACTGCCAGATGTGTGCAGGTTTGGATGCTGTTATTTAAGCTACCGAATCTGCTAGTGTTTGGATAATTCCGATGTTATCCAAAGAAGATTATGAAACAAACACAAGTATAAAGCCCCTCTTCTCCAACACATTTTGAAGAGATATTCATTAGGGGGAGAAGGGTTGCGGCTGTTGCTGGATCTAATTTGGCCTGAATTTTTTGTATAAGCATATGTGGCTTCTCCAAGTAAGTGCCTTGTCTTTTGAGATTAAAGCAGTTCCATTCCTCTGATCTCCTGAATGCTGTTCCCAGAAAATCTCTACCTTCAGATTTCCGCTTTCTTTTTTTGTAAACATCTCCAGCACTGATCTAGAGATACTCAAAGACACAGGCACAGTCATGTTCTATTTCTGTAGCCTGACAAAGCTTAAGTAATGTAGTCTCTTCTTTCACCCTGTAATGCCTTTCAAGACAACCTGTTGGCTTGTTCTTTTCAACTAACCGCCCTGAGTATTACATGTACAGGTGCTGTTTTAGTGAAGCAAAGGACAGCACTGATGTTTCTAAGAAATGAAGGATAGGAAAGAACAGCATTCTCCTCCCTATAATTCTCAAAGGAACTAGAAACACCACCACATGGTTCAACACCGGACAAAACATAGAACTGGCCAGGGCTTTAAAATCACTATGGAAGAAAAGCATTCCTACCATTCAGACATTTCTTGTGAAGTATTAATTATATGGAGAGCTACTGATATGAATTAGAAATCCCATGTCTTTCAGAGTGTTCATTGAAATGCACATGAAATACCAGATTGGACACACTGGCTATCAAATGGTAGTAAAAAAAGGTATTCATACAGAAAATGTATTCAAAATATTCCAGTTGCAAATAATCACATTTCAAAAGTTTCAATACATTTCTAGTAATCTGCAAAAAGAACAATTTCCCCATAGTTTTTTAATATTTCAAAATGTCTATGTCTTCTCATCTCCAATTTTCTCCAGTGATAGGTTTCTCTATATTACTGCAGCATAGCCATTTGATGAATTGCTTTGTAGAGTGGAGCCTTGAAAAGAAGACATTCCACCATTTTAGTATTTAAAATAGAAGAAAAGGATTCTGCTCCTTTTAAAGTTTCTGAGCTATTCTATGCAGTTGTTACTGGGTTTTTTTTATGCTTGCCTCATTATTATTTTAGATCATAATGTATAAAAGTGGTATTGGATCGCAGAACTAGACAGACTTAAATGGAAATGTTCATAAGAGTTAAGTGCATAAATCCTGTTTTATGCAAGGTGAAAAACACATGACATTTTCCTCCACAGACCTTTTCTTTGTACACTACAGTAGACCTTCAGTGACCCCATCTAGACTTTCTGCTTCCAGTCTGTGAGTTTCCATGACTTAATTTGTCAGTACAAATGTTCTTAGTCTTTATATCTGAGACACCGTCTTGGCAAACCAACTATTTTTCTTCAACTTAATAAATCTGTTTCCTAGCAAATGATTTTGATATATAGATTGTCTGCCCTTCCCCGTGTATTTTATTATGCACATTTTATGATGTGTATGTTGCGGGAGGGGGTAATAAGTTTAAAGGGTTTTTTTAAAAAAAAATGTGATTTCATTCTTTTGCCAGTGCAATGCAGTCAGGAAAAATGTGAATAAATACAAAACCACTTTTTATTCCCCAATATGACCCATTGATCATCTTCTGATGGAAGTTGACTGAAGAGTTGCACTGGAGGACCTCGAAAGGTCATGATCTCTGCACTGTACCTATGTGTTTCCCCACTTACCAGAAAGTAGCCATTGCAATAATCAGGGGTCTATTCTCTTGTTACTCATGAAGCTACTGACTGACATTCCCATCAATTGCTCATGTGAGCAATCTGCAGCATTGGGGTGGGGGTGATTACAACAGGGACCCTGATTCTGTCTGTTATACAAGAAATCACTTCCAGGAGGGCATAGAAAGTGTAGTCAGCTGCTTCCTGAGTGACAGGCAAGCACAACCCCATTGATTGCAGTGACTGCTTCCCAGTAGATGGTGATTGGGAGAGTGGGACCAGGATTCACATAGGGCCCTTCTATATTGTCGTATAAACTCCAGATTATCTGCTTTGAACTGGATTACATGGCAGTGTAGACTCATATAATCCAGTTCAAAGTAGATTGTCTGCTTTGATATTTGGATTATATGGCAATGTAGAAGGGACCTTAGTAGCACTGTAATTTAAGAATTTAGGCATACAGGATCCCATACAGGAGTGCAGCTCACAATTCATGAATTCTGGGGTCGGCCTTTACCTGAGGCAACTCCAACCGTTAGGAATCCTGTCACTCAGACTGCTCTTGTTCCCTTAATTATTCTCTTGCTGGATTGGGTTACTGGGCCTCCTGATAAAGGGATCTATTTCATAAGTCACCCTCTGGAATCAGATTATTCTTTCACAGAAGAGTCAGATGTCCAGGAATGTGCATTCCATTATGATTGTGGTCTCTCCAAGTCCAGGGAACTGGAGGATAAGGTAGTGAGGGGCCCTGCTCATCAATGAAGAGGTGGCAGATTCTATTCTACTTTTTTCTTAGACAGCAGATTCTCCGTTACTCACTGGCTACACTTTGATGACTCCATTTACTCTTTGCTGGCTTCTTGGATCCAGATTAAGGAGTTGTTATAAAAACTCCTGAGCCAGCTAATGACCATCTCTTGTTTCACCCTTCAACTTGTTAGATAGCCTGTGATTGACTTACACTGAATTAACTACTTGACAGCTCTGGTATACTAACCAGCTATTCCTGGGACATTGACTGTCTGGTGCATGGAACAATCTGTCACACATATGCCACAAGTGATGGGGAGCCTCTAAGGATATTATTAGAATGGGAGGTGGTGGTAAGGGTTGGAAAAGTTGGAAAAGTTACCTTGTCTGGTGATGCTAAACTGGGTTCATCAGTTCTGAATGGTCAATACTTCTTCCTGCCTTAGCAGCAAGTGGGAGGCTGGTGGTCGAAGCCATCCTGGGGCAGTCTGAAATTTAACACTCCAGTTCAACCCAGGATTAAGGCCCTTCCACACAGCTGAATAAAATCCAAGATTATCTGCTTTGAACTGGTATACACCGCAGTGTGGACTCAGATAATCCAGTTCAAAACAGATATTGTGTGATTTTCTGCCTTGGTATTCTGGGTTATATGACTGTGTGGAAGGGCCCTAAGAGTCAGTGTAGAACTGCCCCCGCTTATTTAACTGCAACATCTGGATTAGGCTGATTTGTAGCAGAATTCACAAAGAATGAACTGCTGAAACAATCCCCATCGAATCCATATAAGAAACAATGCCCTGAAACTGTTTGGGAAAGGAACAGGCTCAAAAAGTTACTTTGTTGGATGACACAACCCAGAACAGCTCCAGGAGCAAGAAAACTGGAGGACTTTTGTTGTTGAGGTTAAAACAGTAACAGGAAAAAATCTGGATGCAGGTTGGTTGATCTTGCCAATTCTGTTTACGGTAAACGAGGACATTGTTATATTTCTCTTCACAATGTAGACAGTGGAGCTCTGTTATTTCCTCCAAAAAGTACCTAAGGGCATAAAAAAGGTAGAAAAAATGAACTTAGGATATATAAATCATTTCCATTTGCCCAGAGTCTTGGGATTATACATCTAATGTACATAGTATTATCCTTGATTATCCAAATTAGATTTTAAAAATGAATCAATTTGATAGAACCTTTTTATCCCTTCTCTAACAGTTTCATTTTCTAACATATAAATTGCCTCTTTTTTGTGTTTTTAGATGAAAATTAACACAATAATGATAGAGTTTCCCTATAATGTCTTTTAGAAGCAAAGCTTATTAATACAGGGCAGACTTTAATAAGCATTGAGATGCTGCATGGCAATAACTAGCCCGGGATGGATGCCAAAAAGAACAAGTGGATAAAAAGCAAAGGTTGATGTATTACCTAATTAAATTACCTTTCTATGTTCAATAACTGCACCTCTTAATATTCAAAATGGATTCTGTAACAGCAGTAGTTGAATAGTACCTCAGAAATGCTCCATCAGCACATAGGTTCATCTAAACTACTAAAGAGGGGGAAATGCTTTAAAATCTTTCTCTAAATCAAGTTACAATTGTCCTTATTTCAGGCTCACTTCTTATATCACATTTCTTTTGAAAGTAATAAAGACATAAATATTTGGAGTTTTGTCTCAAAATGACCCACTCTATTAATATGAATTTTGGAGGGAGCCGTGAGCTATAGTAGTTTGAGCCTTGGACTGGGACTTTGGGAGACTAGGGTTTGAATCCCAGCTTGGCCAAAATACCTACTGGGTAACTTTGGTCAAGATACATTCTCTCGGCTGCAGAGTAAAGCAATGACTTTTTTCCTGAGTAAACCTTAAAAATTGACAAACCTTGTCAATAAAAAGTGTGATGCCTTTCCCTTAGGGTTACAATAACTTGAAGTCACAAAACAACCATAACCAATATGCAGCGAAGCACACAGATGACATGAGATCTCATTAGTGATGGGAAATGATTCAGGAAAAGTTAATACTGCACTGTTGGTTAAAGATCCTCAACATGAATCCTATGTACTCAGAATTACATCCAATTGAGCCCAGTGGGACTCAGAACCTTCTTGGGAGTGAGTTCCAATGGGCTTAATTGGCTATACTTCTGAGTACACTCCGAAGGAGTGACAACCAGTCCCTGTATCTCCAGTTACTTTCTTTTCAGTCTCCTCAATGTTTCTGTCAACTTTTCAGTAATATACGGCTCTATATAAATAGTGAGTATTTTTGTCCTTTTCTGTGCAAATTATGGAACAGAAACAATGATGACTAATGGCTTCACTTGGTGTGCCTTGACTCCAGGGCTGCAATCACATGTATTTGTGCATAAGAAAGTCCAACTGGAATAAAGGAGGAGGGAGGTTGATGCCTTTTGGGGGAGGGGGAGCAGTAGAGCAGGCCAAATCAGCAGAGGGGGATGTCACGAAATACAGCCAAAGATGTTCAAAAATAATGAAAGACACAGCAAGAACCATTCCGTAATTAATTTTGCCAATCAAGTAGAAAAGAAACATCAACTCAAGCACTGATTTTACAGATGTGGAATGTCTTTTCCTAGATGAAGAAGTTTTGTTTTAATTATTGCTTGATAGATACAGATTGGCTTTCCACAAACTGCTGCCCTATAGTCAACTACAACTCCCATCACTACATATAGAATTGTACTGGGTAAAGCTAATACAGATAGATAAGCAAATGGACAGATATCCAGAAATCTAGATTGCCATTTTGCTCCTAATTGTTGCCACTAGGAAGTCAGATTGCTCTTGTAGCTTGTTAAAAAAATCTCTAGCTATATCAATCTGTGCTCAGCATGAACTGATAACATTTGACTTGAGCATCCCCAACTCCTGATAAATGGCTGGCGGCCTTATAAAATGCCACATCTCACAAAGGTATGAATTAACTACATCTCATTTTTTTATGCCAATTCTGCTTTGCAACTTTGTTTAGAGTCAGGATGTTCCCACAAGTTAATGGGAGGAAACATGTTCCAAGGAATTCCTATGGAGAATGCAAGAGGACATTGCACAGATAATGAACTATTTATTTATTTATTTATTTATTTATTTATTTCAAGTACTTCTACACCCTAAGGGGGACTCAGGGCGGCTTCCAACCGGCATGCATTTGATGCCTACAATTCAACACAATAAAATACATAGTAACAATAATTATAAACAGTTAAAACATTACATTAATACAATAAAAAGCCAGCCTGGTTGCCATCATTTCGCCAGGTCTGTAATTAATACATTCATTCCGGTTATCATAGTCCGTTTCCAAAGCTTTAGTCATCATTGTCCTTGTCAGTCTGCCAGATTACCCAAAGGCCTGGTCCCATATCCATGTTTTTAATTTCTTTCTGAAAGAGAGGAGGGAAGATGATGATCTAATTTCCCCAGGGAGTGAATTCCACAGGCCACCACCGAGAAGGCCCTGTCCCTCGTCCCCACCAATCTCATCTATGAAAAGGGTGGGGCCGAGAGCAGGGCCCCTCCAGAAGATCTTAAATTCCTAGGCGGGACATAGGAGATACATTCAGACAGGTACGCTGGGTCGGTGCCTTATAGGGTTTTATAGGTCAAGACTATGTACTTTAGTCTTTTTGGCCAGCATGCTGCTAATGACATATGAAAGCATTAGTTCACCTTTCATTTTTTCAGTCATTGCAGAGGTTGGCATTTTCTTCTTCTCTCTGCAATATCCAAAGGCCTCCCTCCATTCTGCTCCCACTATGGTATGACCCTCCTGCTGTGGGTGTTGGAGAACGGAGTGGGCTGGAACTATTTTTTGGAAAGTATTAGTAATAAATCTTTTATCATCATGTTATTATTTATTTATTTAAAACATTTATATTCCGCCCTTCTCACCCCGAAGGGGACTCAGGGTGGAGCACAGCATATACACGGCAAACATTCAATGCCGGGACACAAATTCAAATATAATACATAAACATTAAAAAAACATTTATCTAAATATCAAAACACTCCATTTAAAACCGTCCTAGTCATCCCCATCAAATCTAGTATTTTGACATGGTCATCTTTCCTATTGCCGCTTTATTGCCCTGTCCCGAAAGCTTGGTCCCACAGCCAAGTTTTTACCATCCTTCTAAAGGACAGGAGGAAGGGGGGTGACCTGATCTCACCAGGAAGGGATTTCCATTGCTGGGGAGCAATCACCGAGAAGTCCCTGTCTCTCATCCCCACTGATCGTGCCTGTGACAATGGTGGGATGGAAAGTAGGGCCTTCCCGGAGGATCTTAATCTCTGTGATGGTTCATAGGGTGAGATGCGTTCGGACAGGTAATTTGGGCCAGAGCCGTTTAGGGATTTATAGGCCAAAGCCAGCACTTCGAATTGTGACCAGTAGCAAACTGGCAGCCAGTTTATATAAAGTTATAGAGTGTGTGTTATATTAATAACATGACAATAACATATTGTCACTAATTTTGTCCAAATATCTGTGTGATTGTATGTGGATACACATTACACACAGACTCACATAGATATACAGGAATTAGTAATAACATGGACCAACCATCACCTGACCTGGTTTAGACTTACTGCACCCTCCAACCTCTGCTGGGGTAGTGAACCCATTAAAATGGTCCATCCCAGGAGGCTTATGGATCCAGATGGATTCCTGATGGCTCTTGGGGATTTTCCTGCCACCTTGGTAGGTGATCCTGTTGATGCTCTAGTCTCTCTCTCTGGGATAGGGCGATGACAAGAGCAGTAGACACAATTGCTCTGGAAGTCCCCTAAGTAGATGAGCTAAACCAGATCCTTGGTTTGTTTGTTTGTTTGTTTTAAAAAAAGATGAAATTATTAATACTGTCCAATAAATAGTCCCAACCCTCTCAAAAATCCCCCCAAATTAAAATAGCAAATTGAAATAACTTCAGACAGTGTTTCTTCTTAAAGATGCTGTTAGAAATTTTGATCTTTGGAGGTATTGAATTAAATTGCCAAATAATTGTTTTCAAACTCTTAGTTCATGGCCAAAATTTGTTTTCATATGTAAAGCATACACCTCGATTGTAGCCCTTCAGCAGCACAGTATGAGTCTAGATAGCACTGTAAAATGTTATAACATTTGTCTTCAAATCTTTAATTCCTTACTCTTAAATAATTTGTTTGGTCAAACCGACTCGTGTTCCTTTTTAGCCACTTGAAGCTTTGGATCACATATTTTCAGCTATACAGAAATTCCTTCAGAACCAGAATGGTTGAGAAGTAGAACATTCTGATCAAAGCAGTGGGGTCATCCAGTCACATATATACTAGCGAGAAAATAGGAAAAGAGTCTCATTAAAGGCAAAAGAAAGAGGAAAGAGAAGTCAACAAGTGGTTGGAATTGCATTAAACCTACAATGTAGATGCACTTTTTCTTTGGAAATTAATGTATCCTCATCATTGCAATGGGTCTTCTATAAACATGTCTATGTCTTCATTTGAGATACTGGATTGCTAGATTGCTAAAATTACATTAATAGTGAAAGAACTATCCATCTGACATATTGGAAGGGATTTTACTGTAAGGGTTAATTATGCACTGATGAGGATGCCCTCGCAGCAATTAAGCATTGTATGGGCAATAATGAGTAAATTAGGCAAAATCATAAATAGAATTGTTATTGTTTCACCAAAGGGTTTCAGCTATGGAATCCTGCAGGAAATGTTCATGGCTCTAGAAATCTGAAAGTATAATTTATGTTATTTAAATGCAGTCAGGTGAGGGGCACTGCTCTTAAAAGACTGTGATGCAAATTTAAATCTCAAGATAGAACAAATGAACATGAGAGTAGCAATTGCTGTGAAGTAGGTATAGTGATATGAATAGAACTGACACAAGATAAACATACCTCATCAAGTCAAGAATATTCATAAATATCTCTCTCATCTAAGTTTACGAATGTCTTACAGATACAATTTTAGCACCATTTAGGAAGAACAGGGGGTTTCAATAATTCTAATCCTAGAGTTAATTTTTA